GAATAGGAGTACTAACGAGGGATTCCAGCAGGAATGACGACAACATCAGTGCCAGTCAATGCATTCTTCAGACCATCGTCTTTGGGAAGATAGCCGGAGACTTTCTGCAAGTGCGAGTCAGGAACGAGGATTTAGTCACTCGAGTTGATGGGTCTAGGAAGTTGTCACATACAGCGACAGAAGAGATGTGAGACAGATCCGCAGCGACGCCGGGGGTGTTGACGACATCGTAGAGAGCAAGCTCATCAACCAGAGGGCATGCCTTCAACAGAAGAGATAGAGGCTAAAGACGCGACGACAATGAATATCAGTACGTGACTATGTGATGAGCGGTGACCCATAAAGTGAGAGGGTACATACCTGACCAATGCCACCAGAGGCTCCGAGAACAGCTATAGGAATGAATTAGTAGGATAACTCTTTCGGTGGTCTCTAGAGGAAGCCGATCAGATGCTTACCCGCCTTGACCATGATGAGAGATTAGAGCTTTATGCTTGGTAGCTGTTGATTAAGAACAAGAAAGCAACGTATCTGTATCGCGTGTGAGTAAGACGGACTGACAGAATCGGACCAACGCAAGATTGGGGAAATGTTGATGGGAAGAAGAACGACCGGTCGAAGGTGAAAGAAAGCACTTGAGGTAGAGCGGGGGAGGAGCATGCAGGAGTACTGCAGGGAGGGGTAACGGTAAACCAAACGGGAACAAACAACGCGCCATATTCGGGGCTGGGAAGGGGATGAACGGGGAAGGCACAAACAAACAGTGCGAATAGTAGAAACAAGAGCTATCTATAGGTTCATAGGTTGCACTAGACGTACATTTTTTGAGGAATTGGTGATAACTTGGCAATTTCTTTAAGAGATGGAGATCTAGAATGCGAGACAAGAGCCACAACTTCTCTGCACAATCATAATAATGATGGCAATTAACTAGTTCTTATACATACACCAGGAACGTAAGCCAGGTATGATGCCCATCACTACTGTCTCGGGTAGGTAAGGAAATAATGTATGTATGTCCAACCATTATCCAGTCCTTGCTAAGACCAATTATTATGGTTAAGCTCAGTTGCTCTCATACAGACCTGCGTTGCGGAGGGGGTAGACGGACAACGGAGATCACAAGTGGGGTGTGTATTTAGGAGAGCTCCCACAGTTCAAGTCCGATGATTGCGTGTCTAGGTACAGAGTAATCATTGATCTTACCGGAAACTTCCTAAAGACTGCTCACGTAATTACCTAAGAAAGATCAACCGCGAACTTATCCATCGGTATCAACCGCTACCTATACTCTCGTCATCTTACGGTAGGTTTAGATAGAAGAATGACCCTGGGATATCCTTTTCGCATTGTCTATTAGTTCCACCCTGCTGAGACTGTTTACCTAGTCTATACCTTAGAGCACCCGAAGTACATATCTATCTTCTACATCCAGTTCACAGCGTACCTATATCCATGTCCCCGACGGTCTGTCATGATACAGGTCGAGAAACTTTCTCATGTGTCTTGGTCCATATATGTAAGGTACGTCAGAGTCCACTTGATCCAATCCGAAGCGTCCCATATTCCGGCAATTTTCGTGTGTTCCACGGTATTTATCACCGAGGAACCTACCGAACTTGTGAGTTGATTCCATCTATCCATCATGAACTCGGGAAAAGGCGGGTGTTGAGTGTTACGTGCGGCAAAAGCTGAAAACTCCAAGCTCTGTCCCAACAGGTTCTAGAATACGTTTCGGCCCGACAAGCGGCTGCAACGTTCAAAATCCGGAACATGTGCCAACTGCAAGTAATGATGATGGCGTAGGAAATTTATCAGAAGAAAACTACGCGAGTTAAGTTACGAAGTTTTTGGCCTATGGCCCGGCAAAAGTTATCCGGACTCAACCATTCTGCACGGCATTTGGTTCTCGCTTTCTTTTTTATGGTGCTGAGATTGCTGACGGCCTCGGAAGGACAATACCCAATAATGATATTGCTAAATTACAGGGACGCTTTCGCCCTTGACCAGCACGGCTCTATTTCAGTCGACGCGCCCGTTCCTTGACCTCTTGTCTTCGGCGTTTTTGTTGCTCTGAGATTTGTATTTACTCCGACTTCTGCTCCGCAGCCTTTCTAGCCTGAGCGCCTCTGAGCTTCTTGGGGGCAGCGTCCTTCTTGGGCTTCTGGGAGCGACGGATGGCGCTCACACGAGCAACGGCGTCCTCACGGAGGTCGGCGCGGTAGCCGTTCTTAGCGGTCTTGCTTGCTACAGCCTTGTAGATCCTGTGCCATAGAACAATGCTCCTGATTAGCAAAACCGGCCTGATACAATGCCACCCGGCAAATCGGTGGAAATAGGTTGTTCTGCTTACTTGCGGGTGGCAGCGTTAGGGCCCCAGCTGACGCTGACCAGGTTTTTCGCGGGCTGCTGAGGGTTGCCAGGCTTCTTGGTGATGACAACAACACCGCCGTTCTCAGTAGCCTGCACACCGACCGCCTGTTCATAAGAGCTTAGATATAATCCCTCTTTATTATCGGAAGTCTGCAGGTTGATGATGTATGAAGTACCTTGGTGTTGGCATAGCCAGCATACTATACAGAGTATTGAAGTCAGCGTTTCTAGTGCCATTGAAATCATAATTGATCTTCAGGATCGTACCTTGAAAGACTGCTTGTTTTGCAGGTTCAGGGGATCGCGGGAGAACTGGGAGCCACCACCGGTCCTCCGCTTGACCAGAAAAGCATTCTGGCTGCCTGTTCAGAGCATATGAATCAGCAAAAATTAAGGAGATTAACGGACAGTATGGGCAAAGCAAAAGACGCAGAAAACTCCGTTACTCTGGAGTAGAAAGGTTAGGTAACGGCAAAAAGAGATAAACGTACGAGTGATCTGCCAGACAAGGTCGCTGGAAACGTTTGTTCTTTCGGCGGCCATTGTGAAATGTCTCTTTCAAGCTGATTGAATGGGAACAGATCGAACTCGACGCGAGGCTGGTATACTTTAATTGCCTGGGATCGTTATTGTGTGCGCCCGTGCCAAGAACAGAATCCAACCATCTCGCTAAGGCGACCGTTTTCGGCATAGTCTGACCTTCAAGATTAAGTCATTCAGGAAGAGCCCCAAAGAAGTGCTGCCGCCCCCCTCCTCCCCACACCGGCCAGGCTGCTTCCAATCATATCTTGGTGCCGATGAGCTACCTTATCCGTACCTTACGTGCTAGCCAAGGTACTCCGAACCTGCCTTTCTCAGCTCGATATTGATCCGACTTCAACATTGCTCGGCATGATATTTTGAGTGCCAACTATATTTCACCGTCTTTCTGTTCAGATGCTTACTTTGTAGCTGGTTGTGGCAGTATCCTGCCCAGCCAGCATCACACGTTACTGGCTTCTACCTGAATGAATCCTTGAGGAGTTGCCACACATCACGAATCCCATCTGCCTTGCCGCGAGTATTCCGGTACACCCGCAGTAGGAATTCATATTAACTAACATAGCAACATCAATATTTACTCGCCGAAGTCCGTGTAATTGCATATACGCGGTCAATATGGCATACTATACTCTCTATTTCCTCACCTTTGCTGTCGTGATTTGCGGGACCGGTATGTCTGATCCACAAACTGTATACCTTAGTCGTACCGATCTGACGCCCGTTGGCAGCGCTTTATCTCACCCGGTCCCGGTGGTTGCCCTTAATCCCAGTCCCGGATCATCTTTATGCTCGCCTTCCCTCCAGCTTTGCGGGGGACCTGGAGGCGGGCCTCTCCTCATCACAGTTCGATATATCGTCCAACATCGCAGATGGCGACACAAGAGCCGGCTTAGACAACAAAGCAAAACGCGAGGTGCAGAAGATCATGAAGACGCAGAATGTTAACTTCGATGAAGCTCGACGCATCTACACACAACGACGGTTTGCTACCCACAATATCGGCCCTGACGGTCGGCCAAGGGACCCGAAGTTCGTGTCATTCTCTTAACCACTACTCCTGCTCCAATCTCTAATTTCCTATCGCTGTTCCTGTCGCCTATCGTTTGCACCGCCATTTGGAATCTGCCCTTCCGAAGCAGCAGTTGCTCTTCTTCGCTGACCCAGCTTTCATTTGCCCTTCTCTCATTTCCTTATGCTTATCAGGCGTGTCCCTGTTCTGAAGTCCTTCCAATTTCGCGCACACGCAGGAGGAAACAGCTATGAATGATTTATTTGATGCAACCGAATGTCACTTCTTCTACCGTAATCAAACATGCTGACGATCTTCGTAAGTTGGTCTGTATAGCTAGACGCCAATATTGTATGAGAGTATGAGCAGTTCACTTGCCACGTCTCAGGTGAATCAAGGACAATGGCAATGTATACCCGCCGGTGAGTGATACCACTTTGGATAATAACGTGCTGCCTCACCGGAAGACTAATGGAAGGAATATATAACCCTGATCAATCATGTAATTTGGTCCCCAAACTTCTACCCCATTATCAATAGATTAGTTAGCTCAAGAGTGTCCCCGGAGAACAAAAACCGATCTGCCATGTAGTGGCGTGCTTTGGTGCGTAAGTCAGGGAATCACCTGAACTACATGCTCTCGTCGACTCGTAACGCAGCGAAACTGTGGGAAAAGACCATTGTTCCATTGTCGTCAACAGTAATGCATGAGAGATATGTTTCTGCATCAATGCACATTTAAAGTCCAAATACAAACGATCCAAAGCTCAGCGGCCGCCACCATAACCAGGTTGCTGGAAGCCCGGTGGTAATGGTGGAGGGTTAGGGGTTCCCGACGGAGGACCGAAACCCTGTGGCGCGAACCCCGGCGGCGGTGCTGCTTGCTGTGGGAAAGGTGGCTGTTGACCAGCAGTATTGAAACCGGGGGGGAGAAATGTCTGAGGGCCACCATAACCGGCTTGCGAGGGCGGAGGTCTTGCCGGCAAACCGGGAGGTGGGTTTGCCAAGGGAGCGGTAGGAGGGAGTTGTCGGTTAGGTTGCGGCGGAGGTACGTTCTGAAAGCCCAAGTTAGGCGGCGGTACGCCTCTTCCCGTTGCTAATTCCGGCGGAGCGGCGCTCAACGCTTGTGCGCCGTCTCCATTAGCCATCCCAGCGGCTGCCATAGGAGTTCCTGGGTTGGTGAATTGCGGAGGAAGCGGCTGCGTTGGCGGACGGACATTATGCTTGCGAGCCTGCGCAGCCAGCATTCGTTCTGCCTGATCACCATGCCTTTCGCCTTTGCCGTCTTTTTTATAGGCGTACTGCACGGAAACTTGCTTGTTCATTAGATATTGCCCGTTCATGTTGGCAATAGCAGCATCTGAGGACTCGAAGTCGGCAAATGATACGAATCCATAGCCCTTGGAAAGGTTGTTATCATCGCGTGCAACCTACAGTTTGTTAGCTTGTTGCAGAAGAGGAAAGATTCCTTTATTGGGCAGGCATTTATTGTCGCCTTACCTTTGGAATATTGACGAGCGTTCCGAAGCGACTGAACGTGTCATAGAGGACCTGCTCCGTGACCAAAGGATCAAGGTTTCCAACGAAGAGCTCTGCTCCGATTTCCACGGCTTTTTGTTTATCGGCAGATGCCTTGTTGACTCGTATAGGTTTTCCATAAAGGCGAATCCCGTTCATTATTCGCGAAGCATATTCAGCATCCTCCTCGCTTATGAATTCCACAAAGCCGTAACCCTGGTGTGACTGCGTCACCCGATCTTTGGGAAGGTGAACATTAACGATGCGCCCAGCCTGTAGCATCAGCTCCCATACCAGGCTATCGGTAACCCGTTCATCGAGATTACCAATGTAAACGGTGGCCTCCTTATCTTGCTCCCTAGAAAGTTAAGAACCTCCTGGTCAATCTTTTGGTTTGCGTTGTAGCGTTGTGTCAATAAAGTAAAAAGCGGTTACTCACCAATGCCTCGCGCCGGACATGTTGTCAACTCTCAATCTAGGTTATCCGACTGTTGGCTTTAAATCAATTCTCGTTGGAGGATAGTGAAAAGATACAGGACACTCTGGACAAAACTGATGTGTGTCAGTCGTGACAATGGTTGTAAGTTTGGATGTGGTTTGCAAGAACGGGTATCTTGCGGACTTGGTAGCTTTTTTTGCCTCGAAAGTTCCCAGAAAATTCTTGAGCTTCACCTACTCATCTCTTAACTCCGCCCAAGCACTCCGCATTCCATAACTTCCTGCGCTGACTCTACTCGCCTTTCCTGGCTCCAAGGTCCGAGTATTGATATAATTATATCCCGTTCATCCACCGAAATGGTTCAGTTTTCCGAGGAGACTAAGGTTGGATCTTCCGTCAATGGAAATGTCCTTAGTCAATATTCCCTTGCTGACCAGACATTTTGATCTCCAGGAGCGGATCTCCAAGGTCATTGACGTCTCGAGAGTCGCTATCCACTAGTAATACCCCCTTTCGGTGAGGTTTTCTCATTCTGGTTACAGTATTGACGGTTCTTTTTACGCAGTGGCTATCTGCCTTTGATCATCTATCTGGGTATGCAACTCGCCCCTCAGATCTTAATCATATCAGAAATGCTCACGACGAGAAACAGGCTACACATACAGCGAACCCAGACCCTCGCTTTTCAAGTAATACCTCAGCGAAATCTTCCTTCTTCGATTCCAGACAGCTGATCCCTCCGACAGGTTGTTTTCCCCCCTCGCTTAAAGAAGACGATGACGGGAATGGGGGATTATGAAAATAGGTTTTCAGACTTGAGTGCATTCTCATCATCATCCCGGACATTAAGGCTAAGAGGAGGTAATGGAGATTCTCGAGCCCTCTCTCATACTTCATGTCGATGTCTTGGAGATGACATTGACACTCATGTATTTTTAAAGTTGTTTCATGTTTGCGAACTGTTCTGCACTTTTAATAGACTGATGAGTTTCTTCCTCGAGAAATGCTATGCCGTCCTAACGTTCATTCTGGGCAAATTAGTAACTCGCGGCAAATGGCTCATCCTAGCAGGAATGGTGTTCAGTTATCAAGAAAGATTCGTATGTGTTAAAGCTTTGTCGAATCGGACAACCCTTCGCCTGTCGTGTAGAATATCATTTATCGGCCATCGCCTCAACTTGAACAATTGCGCGGAGTCGAACCGCCTCGCCGGATTGCTGCGCTTATTGCCGAGGAGCGAAAAAAGCAAGACCCGCAAGTTTGCGCAACAACTCTCATGCACGCTGTTTCGAAGATTGGCTCTCCCGAAAGTCCGTTTACGCGCTCCCAAAAGTTTCGAGAGAATCACACACAATTTTCATGACTATTAAGGATGGCCTGTCGTCATCCTTTGTGGAGACCATAGCAGGATTTACAGCGGGAATAGTCTCTACGCTCTGCCTCCATCCGCTAGATTTATTAAAGACAAGGCTACAGGGTACGTTACTCGACGCATATACTACTTCACGAGTAGGTCAGAGGACATCTTTTCATGGAGCTTACGCATGCGCAAACTGAGACTTAGTCGACCGATCCTCGCCTTCTCAACTTGGTGGATCGCTCCGTATCATCCGTGAAATTTCACGCCGTGAGGGCGGCATCACCGCATTCTACCGAGGGTTAACACCCAACATCATCGGGAATTCCACCAGCTGGGCGCTGTACTTCCTTTGCTATGGAAAGACGAAAGATCTGATGCGGAGGCTCCGCGGCTCCCGAGTGCCGGAGCTCACCTCGACTGACTACTTTGTTGCATCAGGACTGGCAGGTATGATCTTTGCGCCCATCTGCGTTTCATTGGACTCCAAATGCTCACGAATCACATTTGCTAATTCCACTATATTTGCTTTAGGACTTGCAACCTCAGTTTTGACGAATCCTATATGGGTGATCAAAACCCGCATGTTATCCACCGGTTCCAACACTCCCGGAGCCTATGCGTCTTTCACCACCGGCGTAGCACAGATCTATCGCTCAGAGGGTATCCCTGGCTTCTACCGGGGCCTTTTGCCCGCTTTATTCGGAGTCAGTCATGGAGCTCTTCAGTTCATGGCGTATGAGAAGTTGAAAGCGTATCGTACAAGGATGAGGTCGGCTTCGCGTACCAGTGGCGATAGCATAGGGGCGACACCGGCACGACAATTGGGGAATTTCGATTTCTTTCTCACCTCAAGCCTTTCAAAGATCTTCGCAGGCTGTGTCACTTATCCATATCAAGTGCTGAGATCTCGTCTGCAGACATATGAAGCTCACCTTGTGTATCGTGGTGTTCGTGATGCAGTGGCGCAGATTTGGGCTCAAGAGGGCTTTGCTGGTTTCTACAAGGGCTTGGGCCCGAACCTCCTGCGCGTGCTACCAAGCACATGGGTAACCTTTCTGGTGTATGAGAATACCAAGTCTTGCCTAGTTTAATATCACGACAGTAGAGGTCGCTATTCACTTGCCGAAGGCCATATCATTAGCACAGTTCTTCGAACTCTGGCAGGTGGGACTCTTTGCAATGGACATAGCCACGAGAGCGAAAACTCCGTATTGGGGACTATCGTCCACCTAAGCATGATGCTTCAATTCTTGTCAGCCAATCGGAACAATTAGTAGATCGAGCCACATGTGAGCCTATATACTGAAACATGTCTGATGATGTTGGTTTTTGTACAGGACCGACCCTTTCCGTCGTGCAGCCGAGCACTGTCCTCAATGGTGCTATCCCTCAAGAAACCCCGTAACACACGATCACCCGCAAACTCCAGAAAACATATGAGCCTGAAAGCAAATGAAGGTAAGAAGTACATCAATAGACTGGACGAAAGAAGTGCAAGTCCAAGGCAGACAAAACTTGGTATCTCGGGGGAAAAAAAAAAGAAGAAAAGAAAAAATAAATAGAAAAAGAAAGAAAAGCCCAAAAGGCAGAGAAAAAGAACATGAAGCTGAATGACTGCAATAACACCGTTCAATGACCTCTTCTATCGGTATAATAGGTTTCGGGGTCTTCTTCTTCTCCGCTGGAGCTGCCAGTATAAACAGACGAGGCTTCACGACTGCCGCGTGACGCCTTGACGTCCTCATCACTTTCGAAAGATTGCGTTCGCGTGCATGAGGGAGAACTGTCATTGGACTTGGACGTGGGGGAGATCCTCCGATCCTTGCCACGACCCTTGATGCCTTTGTTGCTGTTCTTATATAGGGTGGCAAAGTACTCCCAGAGCTGGCGATCCTGAGGGTTCATGAATTGCGTCTCGGACATTTGAGAAAACTTCAGAGTCAACGTCCTTAGCGTAGCGGCGTGGAACTTGTTTTGGTGCGACTGTCCAATCCATTAGCTCAGAGAGTCTCTGGGACCAGAGCCACGCGTCTCATGAGACAATATACCTTGAGGTTACCCAGCTGAGTGAATTGTTTCCCACAGTCATCGAGTAGACACGTGAAGGGCTTAGCATGTTGGTGAGTGATCTTGTGGGCACGAACATTGCCTCTTTGGGCGAATCGCTTCTGGCAGATATCACAGGAGAAGGGCTTTTCGCCGGTATGGCGTCGTTGATGTGTCTAGTTATGACCATTACATGTCAGGATGCGATTCCTTCATCATCGGTAGGGAGTTCTCTCGGTGCGTTACCTTGAGATTGCCCAATTGGGAGAAACGCTGTCCGCACGAAGGTTCTTTGCATACCTTGCGGCGAATGCAATGTCAGAAGTCGAGGTTCCGAGAATGTAGGTTTATTGTTGGGTGCACTTACAAAGGGCTTATCCCCAGTGTGGGCCCTCATGTGGATATCCAAATGAGTCTTCTGGGCAAAGCTCTTCCCACAGTTGGGAAGTCGGCATATGTACTTTCGTTTCTTTCCCGGCCGGGAAGCGAGCTCCTCAACCGCCATGGTGCATCGCGGAGGTGACGATGCCATGGCATAGGTCTGAGAGAAGCCATTCTCACCGCTGTGTGCCAACTGTTGGAGCGGCGGTAACGGCTGTAGAGCCGGCTGTTGAGGGACAGCTTTTGCTTGAATAGCTTTCATAAGGATGTCTACCTCCGTTGAGAACTCAATCTCGGTCGAGCCAGGGCCCTTCTCCTGGGTAGCCCCCGTGGCCAGCGGTTGAGCCGCTGCAATAGGCTGCGATGATACGCTCTGTTCCAACTTTGCCGATGGCTTTCCCACAATGCGACTGATGGCATTCTTCGCTGGGCGGATGTCGGGAATCTGCTGAACTGTTGGAGGTTCAGATGAGAGACGTACTGGCTGCGAATTGAGCGATGGATGACCCGTAAGATAGAAGTGTTGGTAGCCCGGAAGTTGATGAGGGTGCTGGTTTATCGTATGACTGAAACCATACGGCGTGGAAGACGATTGGTGATAAGGCAAAGGAAAAGAGGTAGCCGGGTTATTGTAATAAGAGAAGCTTGACCCAAGGCCCGCGTGCAGTAATCGACGAGGAGCCATTGAACCCATTGCATGGCCGGTGAACTCGTATGAAACTGGTTCTGCTGTTTCCATTTTGTCGCGAGCAAGGTGAAATAACCTTGAATGTCGTGGGATACCCAACCCTCTCGATGGCAATATCTATCTCTCTCCGTTTCTCTTGACAGAAGGACGGCGAGGATCTAAAAATCCCATAGAGGTCTGCTTGACAGCTCCTACTATGTGAGGAAGCACAGTTAGGCTCTCGAAGGCTTTTGAGGTTCAAACTGTCGTGCCAGGTGTTCGGTGACTTTCGATCCCCCAATGCCACTTCCAAAAAAGCAAAGAGGTTCCAGTATACTCGGGTGGATGAGGTAGGTCAGAGACGCAGATCTCAGGAACGAGCTTTTGAAGGCAATCAAGACAATGCCATAAGGTGGATGGCCAAAGTACCCGCAACAGAGACCGTAGATATTTGTGTACTGGTGCACTGGCAGGACCAGGCCTTTCCTGGGTATTGAGAATGGGAAGACTGAACAAAAGCAAATCAATATATGACAATTTAAACAATGAGAAATTGAAAGCAGATATGGGGTAATCAAATAAGAAGGAGATCGAGGTGATCAGCGAAAGTGCAGTTTAAGAGTCTTTTTTGCTTATCCAACTCAGTGTGAGATCTCTTTTATATTGGCCAGTGAATAGTGACCAGTGAGTACACTCGTATTTCCGCCCCCCATCTTGGGGGTGCGTGTGGTGGTGATCTAGAACTAGATATACCTACATGATCCTCATAATTGAATCGTTCTTCCCTGTGTCCCAGAATAGTGGAAGCAGCGGGGGTGGGCAGTGACAAGGATCTGGCTTGCTAATTTAGTTAGCTGAAGGCTTATAGACTATGATCAAGAGATTAAGGAGACTAACCTAAGGATGACACTTACCTACTTAGAGTACAGTAGTGTCTATGTTTGTATGAGTGAACCTGCATATATGAAAAATATCAAATTAGGTTGAGAGGAAGGTAAAAATAGATTTAAATTAAATGGAATAAATACATGAATAAATAAATATAGCGGAATTAATAAAAAAAATGGAAATGAAAGCAAGGATTGGGCAGAAAAACAATAAGCTTGAAGAGAGTACCATGGGAATTGAAAAAGAATTCCCAATCAAAAACCTTGTATATTCTAACAAAAATTTTTTTAAAAAGGAATATAAATTCAAGGAAAATAGTAGTAATACTTTACATCCCACAGATGGTACCTTAGTAATTATTATTATCATCATTTATTTAATATTATTTATTTGATCATGTTGAACATGCGAGGTAGGTAGTCTGCTATACAATTGCGCCCCCCACTCAGCATCGAGTGGCTGAGGCATGATGTGCCAGTTCCCAAGGTTAAGTTGATAATAATGAAGATTGCCCTAGTCAAGTACTAAGGGCTATTCCACTGGTTGCAAATTGTCACCACAGGAATGAGTAAGGTACATACAGTTGGCCCCAGTGAGCTGGAATGAGTATGAGTACCTACCAATAATGAGATTATCTATAGCCAAGTACTTCGCGGTTAAAGATGTCACCCTTTCAGCCATGTTCTTAAAAATTGGGCACATAGCTGAAGCTGCTGGTCAGAGTTACCACGGTATTCCCTCGTTCTTGACTGGGGGCGAATGGTAATAAAATGCTTATTGTAATAGGTGATCTAGATCTTTCTTCTTTCCTTAGCTGCTCGTCACCACTTCACCGGTATCTAGTCTTGATATGACACTTTTTAGTCGCCGCCGGAAGTCAATAAACAGTTGATGATAGCCTTGAGGACCGCTGTTTTTGAGCCATGTTGCCCAATCGCGGAACTCAGGTTGGAATTCCGATCGGGGGCTCCATGGCAAATCCACTGTACCATTGTGTCACGCTGTCATAGCTCATGCATTGACCTGATGGTATGGCTAGCCTCTCCAGATATCACGAACCCGAATCTTCATTCCAGTGGACTCCAATCTACCCTAATGATTTATTTTTACAAGACATTCTGGGTCGATGTGTCTGAAGGCACTCTACTTTCTAATGGTAGGTAAGGTATGCACTGCTTTGAAGTAATTTACGAGTCCACAGTACCTTGCGAATCCGCCAAGTACTTGACTCTTGACTGATTTTAATTTCGGAAAGAATGGCCTTTGTTAGAAGGCAAGGCAACCGGGCATTTGTCACAATTTCCGCGATACGCACTTCCATTATGCCACGAACTGTAAGTAAAAATCGGGTATGTATCATCTGACCCGCCAGAGTGGACCGGCTCAATTGCCTGGAATTTGAAACGCCAAACGGGATGCATTCTTCCTATTCTTCATAGTTCGATAATCCGAGCCTCCAGTGATCCAGTCAGGTTGGCTGGATGTCATTATTATCGGTCACCCAATAAGGATAATACTCGTATTCCAATAGGTCTGGTATGGGGAAGAACAGGGATACCCTCGTCACCCGCGCAGGTAGGCACCTGAACACTTGGAATATTCGTTAATCTATTCAAAAACACTGACTGGCATGGTGCTGAATTGACTACGTACTGATCTTCAGCCGTCACCTGGATGTCGATCCTGAAACGGTGGCTCATACCTGCATCAATTAGACCAACCCAGTAGGTCCAATATCCATCTAAGTTTACCCATGGAGGCAAGGTAGGTAGGTATACCTAGGTACTTCTTCGTTCCACTCCATATCTTCAGTTCCCTGTACCTCTATTTGAAGCAATGTGTAGTTGACCGTCAGTTCACTTTGTTGCAACTCGCCATCTGATTCCAAGACCTTTTTTTTGTTCGATCCAAAGCGTCCGATGGACGAGGATTCTTAGCTTCATTCGGGCCAAGGTCACTAGCTGAAGTTTGTGATTCAGGCGGCAGCTTCGGGTTGAAAAGCCAGCTTCTTAGTGGTTGCGGTTGCGGACCTTCTGCAGGGCGGCCGGAAGTTCCGTGGGGTGAAGCTGAAAGCTAGATGCTACTGAACGGACCGCTCGCAGGCGATCA